GGACTGTCCGTGCGGGCAGCTGGGGCGTGCTGAGGAGGCGTTTCCTCCAAGCTGCACCTGAGGGAGAGCCCTGCGGGGCCTGTACTGCTGTGGCAGACTCTGCGGGGGCCCTGGAGCGGCACAAGGGCTTTGTGCTGGTCTGCTGAGACGCCCGGGTTAACGCTCTCTCTTTCCTCCCGCTGTGCCCAAAGTTGGTGTTAGTGTTGGGGGACCTTCACATCCCTCACCGGTGCAGTGACCTGCCGGTGAAGTTCAAGAAGCTGCTGGTTCCAGGAAGGATCCAGCACATCTTGTGCACAGGAAACCTCTGCGCCAAGGAGAGCTATGACTACCTCCGGAGCCTGGCTGGGGACATCCACGTTGTTAGGGGGGACTCCGAGGTAATGTTCTTGCTGCTGTTAATTCCTCAGCCTGCCTTCCACATGCTGTGGTTGTCTTGATGAAACCTGGGGATTTCTTCAGCATTAGCAATTCCTGAACTGTGATTCACCAGGATAGGAAGTAGGACTGAGAGAGACTCAAAAACCACAAAATTATTTTCTAGACCCTTGTTGTGCTTGCAACAGGGGGACTGGGGATGGGGGGTGGGTCATACATACCCTGGATTCATCTGAACCCTGGCACAAGGCTGTGATTGCTGAGAGGCCACTGGAGTCCCCTGTCTGGCTGTGTAGTTGCAGGAACTGGGGGGCTTGTGTGTGTTTATTTACTATTGGGTAGCCTTGAGGCCCCTGATCTCTCTGCAGTTCCAGTGTGGTGCAAATTACCAGCTCTTTGCTCTGCAGTTGCTCTTGCTGGGGTGTGGTACAGCCATCCAGTGGGTCTGCACATTGAAAGACACCTTGCGTGCTCAAACAGCAAAAAGAGGGTTCATGTCTTGGAACATAGGAAGCTGCATTGTGTAGGTAAGGGGTTCTTTGGCTGATTTATAGGCTGTGCCTTTTCTCCTTCTCAGAGCCTCAATTACCCAGAAGAGAAGGTTGTGACTGTTGGGCAGTTCAGAATCGGGCTGATTCACGGCCATCAGGTTATTCCCTGGGGCGATGTGGCCAGTCTGGCACTGCTGCAGAGGCAGCTGGATGTGGACATTCTCATCTCAGGACACACACACAGATTTGAAGCATTTGAACATGAAAACAAGTTCTATATCAACCCTGGCTCAGCTACAGGAGCTTACAGTGCTCTGGAAAGGTGAGTGAGGGGGCCCTGAGCTGCCCAGCACAGCAGAGCCTGAAGGCGTTACCCGAAATGTGTGTGTTCACCCATGGGTGCCTGGCTGCAGAGCACTGGCGAGGTGCCGTGAGGAGCAGGAGGCCAGCTCCCTTCCTTCCTGGGGAATGCAGTGGGGCTCCCCTCTTACCAGGGTGTGTTTTGCTCAGCCCACGTGTTGGGCACAACAGCCCGGCACAGGTATGTCTGGGGCTGCTTCCTGGGCCCTGAGAGGAGGGAGTTGCCACAGCTTCTTGAAGTTGTTTTGCTTTCTGGTATCTTCCCAGCAGCTCTATACTAATAGTTTGTAGGAAATCAGAGTTGTGGAGGCACTGCCAGCTTGAATGTCTGAGCCTGACGTGATTCAGGCTGTTCATCAGCCTCGAGGGCTCTTCTAGGCTCAGCGTGCCTCTGCCTGAGATGCTGTTGTCAGTGCCTGCAGACCGTGGTGTTTCTCCAATCCCTGTGGCCTGTGGCAGCCAAGCGTATTGGAATAGACAGGCAGACGGGATGTTAATTGCAGGCACCATAAGCTAATTGGGAAGACTGACAAAGTATGTTTTCTTTCTAGGAACATCATCCCTTCGTTTGTGCTGATGGATATTCAGGCTTCCACGGTTGTGACTTATGTGTACCAGCTAATTGAGGATGATGTGAAAGTAGAACGAATTGAATTCAAGAAGTACTGAATTATGTTCAAACCTGCTTGTTAACTTCTCGCTGCCTTTCATGCCTTCTCTTTCCAGTTAAGTCGAAGTGGGGGCAGGCCACGGGGGGGTGCTGTTGCTGCGGCGTGTTGGACTGAGCAGCCACCACACGATTGCTGGTGACCTCGTCTTGGTTCCCAACTTGAAGCGGAAGAAACTGCTGGTTAAGAGAAGGAGGCCTGTGGAAATTATCCTGTGGCTAAGGAGGAGCTGCTGTGTTCCTGGCCTAGGGGAGTCACAGAGGGTGGTGAGCTTGGTGTTGAACTTCCTCTGTAAAATGAACACAGAATAATAAATCCCTGTCTTCATGTGTCCATGTCCTATTCATTACGCTTCTAAAACATGAAGGAGGGCTGGAATTTGATGTGAGAGGGCTCTAAGGGCTGAATGGAAGCTGCTGTTGGCTTCCTGAGACAGAGGCCTGAAACCTTTCAGATCTCTCAGAGATGCCCAAGGACTCTAACTGCTTCAGCAGACCTGTCCCACCTCCTGCTTAGGGGCAGCAGGGAAGGGCAGAGGCAGGTCTGGGGAGGGCGGTGAGGAGAGCTCTGTGCAGGGGCGGGGTGAGGTGGAGCAGGGCAGGCTGGGTGTTTGCACTCATGCACCAGAGGCAGTGGAGCCCAGAGTGCTTCTCCTCATCCCTACGGTGCTGCTCACAAGTGGGAGTGTCTGATCCTGGGCTGGGAGGTCTGGAGCACCAGCCTGCAGTGCGTGTGTGCTGTAGGCAGGAGTGCTGGGCAGGGCAGGGAAGTGAACCCCAGAGAAGTGCCTGGGGCAGGAGGGGAAGGGGTGTGCGGCTGGAGGAGCTGTGCTGCTGTGGGGAGGTGCTCAGTGTGTGGGTGGGTGATGCCAGGGGCACAGGCTGGGCTAAGGCAGCTGCAGAGGATGCTTCAGCAAGGCAGGGTACAAAAGCGGTCCTGCCATCCCTTGGTGTGTGTCCTAGCTAAGGTGGTATTTACCAAGATGAAAGTTGAACAGCATTTTCCTGGACACATTGATCTGGTGGGTCATGGATCTGTGGCTCCTGCAAGAAACCTGGTTGTGCTATCCTAGTGTGAAGCAGGACCTGGTTTTCTCAGTGGAGTGGACCAGGGAGGGGCAGCCTGGAGGGATGTTGGTGCCTTTGGTGGGGTGGGGGCTGCTGCAGGGAGCAGGGGGAGCAATGGGAGAGAAGCTGCCAGAGGACATTGGGGCCACATTGCATGGAGGGGCTGGGTCTGGGTGGACAGGGGCTTAAGAGGGAGTTGGGGTCCATGGCACAGC